AATGTCGTATTTTTTATTAATGGATGATAAATTTAGGGGTCTTGCTCTCATACATATGTCTTTTAGTTCGTACTTGACAAATACATTTAACATTTAAAATTGGGTTGAGGTTGGCATGTTTTGTATTATCCGCAACGCCATGCTGTCCCAGTCAGACGACCAAACGCGCCTCTAATTTTGAAGAGTTCACTAATGGAAATCAAACGTATTGAATTGAAATGGGTGGATTATGAAGGTCGATTATAATAAGAATATTTATTAAGTGAGGTGCTTAACTAGTAGTAATTCTATTTGAAAAATATTCAAGTTGTGTAAAATGGGAGTAAAATTTCTTGTCAAATTAGACACATATTTGCTTTCAATTACATTTTGTTGAGTGTGTTCTGCAGATAATATTAGTCGGAATATTGCACTTTTAAAGTTTGTTGTGTCGACATATATCCATCAAAATTCATACAATCTTTAAAATCTTCTTGACTACTGTACATTATGTAAGAATTTTCACAGGGTGCACCCGCTTCCTGTAAATTGTTAGATCAATGCACAGGCACTTGACGTATCAAACCTTTCTCTTCATTGATAAAAATATCATATTATAATGGTATTATGATATGGGATGGACATTATGGGATGAATGAAGTGATTATACTGGTTTCTGGGTCACTGTATCAATGTATATATTGAATTGTGGGATAACTATGGTCACTATACCTGTTTGTGGTTCACTGTACATATGTATATAATATATTGTGGGATAAATAAAAGTGATTATATGCCACTTTTTTGTTCACTATATTTAAATATGCATAAAAACCTATTTGAAACGTAAGCATATAGATTAGATATTTTGTTAAAATCTCATAATATAAGGTTGATAAGCTGTGTGTTGAATAAAAAACAATACAGTTTGGGATGATAAATGTAGTGATTGTACCAGTTTGTGGTTCACTGTATATATGTATATGATGAATTGTGGGATAAATATATTGCACGTGATTATACCTGATTGTGGGTCACTGTATATATGTATATAATGAATTGTGGGATAAATATATTGTACGAGATTATGCCAGTTTGTGGGTCACTGTATATATGTATATAATGAATGAATTGTGGGATAAATATATTGCACGTGATTATACCTGATTGTGGGTCACTGTATATATGTATATAATGAATTGTGGGATAAATATATTGTACGTGATTATACCTGATTGTGGGTCACTGTATATATGTATATAAAAAATTTGGGGATTGTACCAGTTTGTGGGTCACTGTATATATGTATATAATGAATTGTGGGATAAATATATTGCACGTGATTATACCAGTTTGTGGGTCACTGTATATATGTATATAATGAATTGTGAGATAAATATATTGCACGTGATTATACCTGATTGTGGGTCACTGTATATATGTATATATTATACTTTCATGTAAATTAGTTGAATCTGATTCGTCGAGAAACATTTGTTTAAAAACACTATTACCCGCTGAATGATAAAGCCACGCGCTCCAGCGTAGCAACAGTTAACATTGCTTGACGACGGGTGATATTCGAAAAAATATAGTGACTGCGCAGAATTTATGGGCGCACGGTTCACTCTTATATGTATTTATATAAACATTCAGTATAATTTAATAAATATTGCATGTAGTTGAGTGTAACATTGAAAATGTTACACTCAACTACATGCAATATTTATATAATAAAGAATTTGGGGATTGTGCCATTTTGTGGGTCACTGTATGTATGTATATAATGAATTGTGGGATAAATATATTGCACTTGATTATACCTGATTATGGGTCACTGTATATATGTATATAATGAATTGGGGGATAAATACAGTGATTGTACCAGTTTATGGGTCGCGATAGAGATATGTCTATAACAAACTTTTGGAAATGTAAGCATATACTTAAGATATTGTTTCATAATCTCATAATATGAGGTTGAAAAGCTCTTTTTCTTTAAATAAATAATTCACGAATTGAAGGTCATTATGTTATAAATGTAGTGATCATAGCTGTTTGTGGGTCACTATATATATATGTGTGTGTGTATAACGAATTGTGGGACAGGCGATTGCATAAAATATAGTGTAGAGTCTTATGGATTCAATGCAGTGATTATACCTGTAAATTTACTTTCAGAAATAAGAATTCAATGCTTATATGTGGTTCACTATATATAAATGTATGTATATAAGAAAATCTAGGATAAGTGGGCGTATAGATAAAATATGCCGTTCAATATCTAACAATGCTTAATGAATAAATAAATTACAAATACATTGTGGGATGGACATTATTTGATAAATCATCTTTGTCACTATATATATTTGTATGTAAGAAATTTTGGGATATATATATAAGGAGCGAAAGAGGATATCCCTAGAATATCTTGTTAAGAATCTCATAAATCATGTATAGCAGTGAGTCATTATGCAATTTGACCCCAAAATACTCGAAAAGTAATAGTTAAAATCTTATATTGAAACTAGCAAAACTGTTCTTAATGATTCATTCTATTTTGTACATATGTAAATATACATATATATCTATATATTTTATCAAACATTAATTCTTATGTCTTACATTATGAAATGCAGCACAGAATACATATTGCATATGATAACATTGTGGGTCATAATATTCATATATATAGAGCATTGTGCGATGTATATACTTTATCCCACAATGCTCTCTATATATAAATATAATGACCCACAATGATATACAACATTTTTAATCTTATCTCAAAAATTATATTATATATTATATAAGTACCATATATAACGCCTAAATCATGAATATGACATAGCTATGCAATGTAGAAATGCGAGATCCCACAAACCTGTTTAGAAGGTCGGTGCCCACAAACAACCTCATATACCTATATATATATATATATATATATATATATATATATATATATATATTTAAAGTTGAAAGTTTGGTCGAGCATGAGATAATGGGACTTTCTCCCTATATTGACGATTCGCTGAGACCATTCGCCCCTGAAGACTTTTTGTGCCAAGACGTTTCACGCCATATATATAATGTACAATATATGCATATACATATGATACATACATGTTTATAAATTTACTTTATTAAAGTGCTATAAATAAACAGGTCCGGCACAATCTCTTGATATTTAGCTATATAGCTTGATTAAGCTATAGAGCTTTATTAAGCTATTAAGAATAGCTTGATTTAGCTATTTTATCACAATTTTTTCTTAAATGTGTTATTTTCTTAGCATGCACAAAAAGTCGCACCTTGGTGCAGTGATAATATTCAACCTTGAACTCTTCTGAAAACAATGCATGTAAAAATCACTCATCAAATTGTGTCTCCTTAAGAGACTTTGTACTCAAGGTTCTAAAAGTTTTGGGGCTATATAAAGCAATTGATACAGTTACTTCTTCAATGAAATTATAAAGGAGGCCAATTATGGTCAACAAGATAATTGATTGGTACTAATTCAGTACAATGAGAAGCAATCATACTTATCCATGCCTCAACGCACACAAGGTAGTGTACAGTTACTCAATCAATGGAAATTCATCTTTTGCTTAAAAGTATTCAAATGCTGCAATGTTAGAACTATCTTTGATTTCAGTTGTTGTTTTGATAACCTATAGTACATATATGAATAGTCAAATACTTGCGACTTTTTGTCTATTTCTTACAAAAAACATTTTTCTGAAAAACTGCACATAAGTAGCTTTATCAAGCTATTTTGAATAGCTTAATAAAGCTATGTAGCTATTTCAAGCTATATAGCTAAATCAAGAGATTGTGCTGGACCTGATAAATTTGTTAGTTTTTTCATCAATCTTTTATCATTCAATTCGGCTTATTTATCATTTTTGTTAATGGATGCAAAAGCTGATGTATAATTATGTTTATTCAACAATCAATAGTCTGATTTAGTTTTTCAAAGGTGTTTAAAACTAATTTAGAGACTTCCAATAGCTATTATGCAAAGTGCAAGTAAAATATTAAGGGTAGATAAAGTGACCAATTCAAAGTATTAGAATTGAATATTTTAAAAACAATGCATTTAAAAGTAATGGATAAGTAAACTAACACGTAAATGCTTGTAAATTCAGGGATACTAATAGTTAGGATTTTGGCATGGAAAGTCTTGGCTTGAAAGGTCTTAACACAAATTGCCAATTGCAGCGAAATGTCCCATATTTTATTATAATGTATAGATTATTAGATCATAGTAAACACTTCTGGATTTAGTGTTGTAGCTTGAAGTAGTTATAAATGCTCAAACTATCTATTCAAGGCTCAACATTAACATTTTCTGATTGTCCATGTCCATTTGCAAAAGGCCACTGAATGGACATTTTAGCAGGAGATACGAAGGACTTTTTAGCAGAAAAAAAAATCTGTGACCTTTAAAAATTCAATGGATATTTTAATCAGGTTTTTTTTCCAGGCATAACATTAATTTTTTTAAAGAATCAATGTCATGTAAAGTCAAAATTTGACCAATTGATTAGTAAGTTCCCAAATCTTACTGAGGTTTCAATGACATTTACCAATCTGCTTCATATGCTGCCCTGACAAATATTGTGTAGATTAGAATACATGTAGGAGTCAGGTTTAAGGTTTCTGAGCAGGTCCATTCTAATTTCCAAAGGCACCATATGTTGCAATTTTACAAGTATACTGGTTAAATTAATCAATCAATGCACCTCATTGAACATTCATATTTATAGGACTGCTGTCTATTAAAGATTGCATTCATCTTCAATTTGATATTATAAAATGAATACATGTATTATGTCTTGCTCCAGATGTTGCAATTTTCCAAAATTATAAATACAAGTATATTGGTTAAATTAATCAATGCACCTCATTGAACTTTCATATCTTATGAGACAGCTGTTTATTATAGATTGCATTCATCAGCAACTTGATATTATATAGCACCAATGAATATACACTCTGAGTACTTTCCTTTCACACAGGTCTTGGACGAGATTTGGAGAAAAGAGTACAGGAAAAATATGAACAAGAGAAACAGAAGGCAATCAGGGATGCTGAACAAGCAGTGTGGGCAGAAGCTGAGCAACGAAAGGCAGCAGCACTGCTGAAGGCAAGAGAGGACTCCTCAATAGACCTCGAGAGGGCGGTCAAGAAAATTAACAGACAACATGAAAAGGCATTGAAGGTAATTATGAAACAACATTAAGATAAGGTGCACATAATGATCTTTGAATTATCAATTTATAGCACTTGCATGTAAATTCTGCTTATTGGTCTCCAAATGTTACAGTTGGCTTATACTATAACAATCACATTTTCAGAATACCGGTAATAAATATTGAAGGGAAGAAAGCCCACACAGATTTGGGTGATGAATGATGATCTGGTTAATTCATAAAATATTCTTAAAATTAAAAACAAATTGCTTATGTAATTCTTGCATTTTCGTCCCACTAGACCAAATATTTTGAGACATCATATATACTTTGTATAATATAGCCTCTCTGTCTGCAGCTTAAAATGTGTATGCTCATAACTAAATGGAGAGTTTGGTTTTATAGTATGATCAAATCTTGTATTTTTGACTAGAAGGTGTGTCTTGAACAGCACCAACTGTACAGTCATTTGGACAAGGTCATTAGAATGTAGGAAATAAAAGTGTAACTGTATTGTCTCATCTGTAATTTCACAATGGAGAAACAGTTGGCATTAACACCAAGCAAATGAAAGTGTCCTTTAAATCATCGTCGGAGACCCACAGGTGATCTCGTCTTTTGATGAGTAAAAGACGAGATCACCCGTGGGTATCCGATAATGCCTTTAAATTAGAAAATTTGAACAAGGTTAATAAGGATATAACAAGAATTTGAAAAAAAGAGTTGTGCTTTGTCTGTAATGTAATGGAGAAACCTAGGAGTTCAAAATTGACAAACAAGCTAGAGCACCATATTCAGGATTTAGGGTGGATCCTGACTTTGCCAAGGTTAAATTTCAATTCTTCTGTACATTCCATTTGCCATTAAGCAGTTTTGATTGGTACAGTTTGTTTGGATAATATGAATTGATATTACAGAACTTTGGAGGAGAAGGAGGTAAACTGCTTAGCTTTGGTCAAGGTGTAAAGTGTCTGAATAAAACTTGAGCTATAAAGATGTCATTTGTCAAAAGTTATGTTGAGACAAAATCATCATAATAGTATATAATTAGAAATAATGCTTAAGTTGGGAATTTGTTCAAGAATGGGTATTCAAACACTGTCTTGTCCAGCAAATACTTTGAAATATTTTAAACAGCAGGGCAGCCATTATCACTATCAAGTTTAAATCTTAACTACATACATACTTGGATTCTTACCCTGCAGAAGGTTTGGTGATTCTCTTTAAATCATATTGCATAATCCACAGGCCCTGTTTGTAGAGATGTCCAGCTTCTGCACTGATGATCATTGTCTGTGTGTTTGTCTGTGGTTCATGCCATTCTCTTGTAGTTCATGTGGGCCATTAATCATTTGTCACTGTACTGAATGAATTTAATGATGATGTACGTGCTCTTGTTTTATCAGAGGAAGCTTTTATCAGTAAACTTTGTCAACTGTCACCTGATTATGCATTAATTAAACAAACCAAGGAGTATCCCAAAAGAAAAACATGAAGGGAACAGATGCAAATTAAGTTCAGTACATTCTCTGGGTGATAGACTCAGTATAACAAGTTCCTGATAATTTTTCCAAACTATGACAGGGCTCCTCTCTACTTCAGTATAAACAGAGTAAAACAGTGCTTTGATATAATTAAATTCTCATGCAAACTGACATTTTCTTTAATTGCAAGAGTCAATATCCAGCTACCTAGATTAAATTTTTGTGGGTAATATAAAACTTAAAAGGGTAAAAACCTTTGGTTTATCTATTTAGTACATCAGACCTTACCTTAGTTTAAGTTTAATTTGTGGTCAAAGTCCACCTTGTTGAAATAAGGTAAAGAAAATTTGTTAGGTATACTGCAAAAAAAAAAGCCCAAAAATAAGTGTAGTTTATTGTACATTTAATTTAGCACATGACATTTCTTATATTTTTTTGGCAATATTATATAAGTGTGCCCATTTAAGCTAGTACATGTTATATGAATAATGGTTGTGTGCTTTATTTAATTAAGAATTCAATATGTCTTGTTCCTTAAATACATTACCATACACGTGATAAGGAGTGTATAATAATTATAATTCTCAGTGATTTGAAATTATCTCCAAACTAAAATTGCTGTTCAGAAGTTTCCAAAATAACACCTGCTTAAATAAACAATACATGTATTTGCATCAGGTATGGGGTATCTTTGTTTTATATAATATTTTTTAAGTCACATTTTTAACTTCTTCTCAAGAACCGTTCAACCAATTTCAACCAAATTTGGTATATAGCATCTATGGGTGAAGGGGAACAAAAATTGTGAATTTCATGGTCCCTGCCCCCCTGGGGCCTGAGGGGTGGGGCTAAAACCACCAAAAATAATGCAATCTTTAAAAATCTTCTTCTTTACTCCTGGATATCAAGCAGTCAAACTGTTGGCATCATTGTAATAAGCATTGAGCCCTCTACCAAAATTGTGAAATTCATGGCCCCAGGGTCAGGGGTTCTGGCCCCAGGGTGGGGCTATATAGATCATATAGTGAAAGTGCATTATTTCTTTGAAAATCTTCTTCTCTGCTCCTGGGTATTAAATAAAGTTACTAAGTGCATAGTTAAGATGAGCAAGAGTGCCTCTTCCAAAATTGTGAAATTCATGGCCCCAGGGTCAGGGGTTCTGGTGTTAGGGTGGGGCTCAATTGATTATATAGTGAAAAAGCATTAATTCTTTGAAAATCTTCTTTGCTCCTGGGTATTAAATAAAGGAACTAAGTACATAGTTATGATGAGCAAGAGTGCCTCTTCCAAAATTGTGAAATTCATGGCCCCAGGGTCAGGGGTTCTGGTGTTAGGACGGGGCTCTATAGATTATATAGTGAAAAAGCATTAATTCTTTGAAAATCTTCTTCTTTGCCCCTGGGTATTAAATAAAATAACTAAGTACATAGTTATGATGAGCAAAAGTGCCTTTTCAAAAATTGTGAATTTCATGGCCCCAGGGTCAGGGGTTCTGGTGTTAGGGCGAGGCTCTATAGATTATATAGTGAAAAAGCATTAATTCTTTGAAAATCTTCTTCTCTGCTCCTGGGCATTAAGGTGATAAACTAAGTACATAGTTATGATGAGGAGGTGGGCCTCTTCCAGAATTGTGAAAGCCATGGCCCCTTGGTCAGGGGTTCTGGTGTTAGGGCAGGGCTCTATTGATTATATACTGAAAATGTTTTAATTCTTTGAAAATCTTCTTCTCTGCTCCTGGGTATCATTTAAACAAACTAAGTGCATGGTTATGATGCATAAGGATGGCTTTTCAAAAATTGTGAATTTCATGGCCCCAGGGTCAGGGGTTCTGGTGTTAGGGTGGGGCTCTATTGATTATATAGTGAAAATGCATTGATTCTTTGAAAATCTTCTTCTCTGCTACTGGAGATTATTTAAACAAGCTAAGTGCATGATTATGATAGACAAGGATGCCTCTTCCAAAATTTTTAAATATATGGCCTCAGTTTTTGGGGTTCTTGAGGAGGGGGGGGGGGGGCTCTATTGATTATATAGTGAAAAAGCATTAATTCTATTAATTAATCATTAATTTATCCTGTCTGCTCCTTAGTGTTGAGCTGATAAATAAATTGCTTAGCTATGATGAAAATGGGAACTTCGAACAGAATTTTTAAATCTTGTGGTCCTAGGGTCAGGGGTTCTAGCATAATGGGGGGGGGGGGGGGGGGGGCTTTTGATAATATAGTGGAAAAGTGTTAATTCTTTGAAGTCCATAGTTATGATGAGGAGGGTAACTCTTCCAAATTTGTAAATTTCTTGACCCTTGGTCTTGGGTTCTGGTGTTAGGGTAAGGCTTTGTTGAATCTGTAGTGAAAATGCATTGTACCTGTGAAATTCTTCTCTGCTTCTGGGCATATCGGAAGCAAACTGAGTAAAAGTTTAAATGATATGAGTAAGTGTATTTCTACCAGATTTTTAAACATCTGGACCATTCGTCTAAGCATTCTGGTCCTGGGCAGGGCTCTATTAACTTGTATTCTACTGAGAGAAGTTATTCCCCTTTTCCATTCACCTTTGATAATTAATCACTGTAAATAATGTATTTGAAAGGTTAATAGAATAAGATAATTATGCAAGAATGTTTATCGTATAATTCAAAAAGTACTTTCTTAGTTTTAATAATCAGGTAGACCTGTAAGTAATAGATAAATAAAAATGAGACAAAAGTAACTTATCTTATTAAAAGTTCTTCAAAGACCATAAGAGAGGTCAATGCTAGAGGTCTTAACATGGGTTTAAAAATAGTACAGAAGCACTAATAGTTTGTTAATAGTCTGCATGGTGATAGTGTTAAGTGGGGGATAGATTAGAACTTAATTTATGAGTTGATACTGAATACTAGACTAATTATTTTGTTGATCCTGATCTTATTACTTCTCTTGCTTTAGGGCAACAATGCATCATCTGTCAGTTTATTTAACTTCTAAATTGTTGTATTATACTCAGGTGACCGTTAAGGCCCTTGGGCCTCTTGTTTGCTGTTGACCTTCAACTTGCAAAACTGACCTGGTGTTAGGTATGTGACTCTCAGTTAGTTCATTAGCAATTTGTAATAAGGTTTATTTACCCTCTGATAATAGAGATGATTCTCTCTGGGATTCAAGAATTTTATTCATTTTAAAAATTATGAAGTTAAAAGGTGATTTCTGTCAAATTTTACACAATATGGTCTGCTGAAACAGTTCAAGTTTCAATTGTAATTTAGTTTTCTTTAAGAAAATCAATGACCTTGACTGTGACCTATCATAAAGTACATGACATACTTTAAGGTCAAATGCAATTTCTTTTCAAGTATGAGTTTCCATAGTTTCTCCAAGGGAGGCAAGAGCAAATTTAGATGAAATGACCCCTTCCCTCTCTGACCCATTCACCCACCCACACAAACATACACACATTAAAATCTCCCAAAGTATATATTTCTGTTTTTAAAAATGTGTTCAATAAGTCAACAGTTATAAAATATTCATTTTGAAGAAGTTTAACCTCCATTGTCTAGTCATAGGCAACATTTGTCTAAAGTACATGCTTGTATTCTCTCATGAAAAAAGAATTATTGGCCCACTCTATACACTTCCAATGCTTATACTGACCTTGTTATTATGAACCTGTAAAATAACAATTTTTAAATTGACTCTTCAAGATTTATTCATAAATAGTTCTCAGCATTTAAGTTGCAGACAGACACACAGAGAAAGGGACAGACAGAATCCCCCCCCTCCCCCCAAAGAAAAAGAAGAAAAAAAAACTGTGCTAAGTCCTTGGTCTTCAAATCATTTTTTGATCTTATTATACCCCCCGCAAACGAAGTTTAGGGGGGGTTTATTGGAATCAGCATGTCCGTCTGTCTGTCCGTCTGTCTGTAGACGAGATTTTGTCCGGACCATTTCTTGGAAACTGTTGGAAGGATTTGTCTGAAAATTTGTACACTTATTATTCACCATATGAAGGTGTGCACCTGGTATTTTCATTATGATTGGATAATTATTTTGCATTTTACAGGAGTTTTTTTCATTTTTACTATGTGGTTTTGTCTGGATCTGTTCCCAGAGACTATTGCATAGATTTGTATGAAAATTTGTACACTTATTATTTACCATATGAAGATGTGCACCTGGTATTTTCAACATTATTTGATAATTTTTCTGCATTTTACAGGTGTTTTTTTTTTAATTTAATTTATTGACTTAGTCATTTTGGGTTCATGTCTAAGGTTTGAGACATAGAATCTAGAACATCTGTACAAAAATCTGAACTACAGCTTAAAAGTACTCATTAGAACTAAAAAAAACCAACAAAGTATTAAAAACAGTTTTTACATTACACAGCAGATAGTGTAAATCCATTTGTCCCTTGGGAGTAATAAGTGGACATGCATCCAGTTAAAGATTAATTAATGAGTTCAGTGTGGGAAGCTGTTAGGGCATCTCTGATCAAGTAGGTCTTATCTGTATCTCAGGGGAATTGGGCAGAAAGAAATAAACATCTCTGTTGTCTAAGTCTCTTAATTGTAATTTATGTCTGTCAAAATACATAGTTACTAAAACCAGCCTTTTATTTTTAAAATGAGTTTGATATAAAGGTATTAAAATCAATTTGATTTTCTATAATTAATTATGATATTCTTTTTTTCAACAATCAATTTGCAGAGTGTCATGTCTCACAAAGATGGCAGATAGTTGCAAACTATTTTTTCAATGTAATAAAAAACACTGTAATTATTAGTGTTTATGTTTTATTAGGCTGCACCTTAGTTTCATTCATTAAATAAAGTGCCCCACCACAGCATGATATGCCCATCAAATATTGTTAAATTATCATAAACAGTTTAGATTCAATTGTTTGAATGACATCTTAGCGAGACAAGGCAGTCTGCAATTTGTTGTAAAGATATAAAAATTCAAATAAAAAATGTACAATAAATAATTAGTTTAAATTATATTATACAATATCATATAACTTTTAATTATTATATACAATATCAAATTAGTTTTAATTACATCAAATTTATCTTGAAAGTAAGACTAGCCAACAAGAACAATTCAATACAACACAAGCAATTAATTAAGAGACTGATTCCTTTTGCCCAATTCCCAAGAGATGTAGATAACACCTGCTTGATCAGAGATGCTCTACCAGTTATCTCCTCACACTAAACTCATTAATTTCTCTCTAATTTGACATGCAATTTTCTGCTATCAAAATTTTCCTTGACCAGTGCCTGATCATTACACCCATGGGAGAGGTGGAATTTTTGTTGTTACAGATTGCTGTAAAGAACATAATGAAAAAAATAAGACTAGTATTTTCTTGATTTAACACTTTTTTAATAAAGATACTGCAATACTCTGACATCTTTTGGGACTGTGTAATTTAAAAGTTAAAAGACATAGTTTTTTGATTCTAAGTCTAATGGTTTTCTAGTTATGATTTTTCCATATCTGGCCATAGCGTCTTTATTAAAGGTCAGAGCAACCTGGTTTTAATGTGCAACACACCTTCTACCCTAGATGTATCAGCTGACAAAGTTTGATAATTCTAGGCCTAATAGTATTAAAGTTATGAGCCGGACATGAAAAAGCTAACGGAGGGACAAACATGAACGCTATAACATAATACGTCCCGTTGTAAGACGGACGTATAAAAATATATAATGAGTAATTAAATTTTCACTGTAAATGTTTAAGGAAATTGTGAACACCTCTCACATCTAGAAAACATTAGTGATTTGGTACTTTCTCTGAAAAACCCAGCGGGGGGTATTTGTCCCTTTTGGACAGTTCTAGTTTTGAATTAAAAAGGTTCTGTCCTTCAGCATTTAATCTTGATTGCTTTGGAAATAAAAAGAGAGACAGTATATATTACACCTTTAACTGCTTTATCTGTTTATAATAATAATAATTTTAATATATGATTGCACAGGCTTGCAGTAACATGACCTTGCTAAACTTTTCCACCAGGAATTTTCCACCAAGTATCATGCAGGTCATACAAATATACAGTCTGAATGTGTCACTCACCTTGTTACGTGAGGTATACAGTGTAAGCTATGATAAGTCTACACTGGAGTATCACGTGTCCTAGAAAATGTTTAGTTATTAAACTTTCATCAGTGTACTTGTATAAACTATTTCACAAGTCAAATTTCTAAGAGAGTGTAAAAAAAGTCTCAAAAAAAGAAGAAATCATTAATATGTACTTGCAGTAAGAATATGTAAATTGTAATATTGTATCATTATGATACTTTCAGACTTGAGAGCAAGGCAAATTAATTGATTTAGAAAGTACTTTGAGAAGTAATACATGTTTATCATATTTCCATATTACCCGATTTGACTGTACTGCAACTCAAAATAGGGGGCCAACCACCCTTTCAATAAACATTCTCAGTAAAAGGTTACGTTTGAAAAAAAGTGGGGGGTTGGCTAGCACTCCCTGCCCCCCTTGATACTATATGCCTGTTATACATTCACTGCAGCAAATCCTGTATTGCATGTTCATTTGTTTGTCAAAGTACTAGTATTTCATTCATTGTGAGCAACTGAATAGTTACTTCAGGATATACACATACTAATTTTCAAACAAGTACAGTTTACAGTAAATGGTAATCATGAACATATGTATTACATTTAATTTATCATATTTTAAATTTATGCCTTTAATTTTACTTATAGGAAGAGGCTCTAAGGGTTGAGATGGCAATGCAGAAATTGGCAATTGAACAAGTCAAGCAGGAACGAGCCGAGGCTGAGGAGCGCTTAAAGGAAGCAGTGAAGAAAACAGAAGCTCGCTGCCATCAAGAGCTGGTAGAGGCTGTGTTAAAGGCTCGCGAGGAGGAAAAAAAGATAGCAGAGGAGGAGGCTAAAAAAGTTGCCAAGTATGTGTCACTAGGAGCTACTGTAAAATGATTTATGATGAGTTTTACAGTCAATTCAATTACATATCTAAATAGATATTAATGATTTAGATCAGCTTTGTTACTTGCAAGTTTGAAATAACTACAGTATATTTATTTTACTAAGGTCATTTATGATTTCATTTAAATCATCAAAGATATGAAATCAGTTGAAAGTTCTAATCTTTCCCCCAAGAAATTAATTCTTATGGATGTATCTCATTTATCTCCTTCTGACTATGATTTATCTGGGTTTTCATACTAATTAATGAAAAATTTTGAATTTCACTCTTGTTAATTGTCTTTAAAACATTTTGGAAAATGTGATAATTCCATTATAAAAGATTTTAAATTTTTATTCACTGTCATTGAAATGTGCTTGAATTTTATTTCTTAATCCTATAATTTACAGCAATACCTTGAACCAAATTTAGAAAGTCTTAAAATAAATTTTTGAAGATGTTTATAGATTTTTTATATTGCAATGACCTTGATTTTTGGTAATTTTAAAAAAAAAAACTACTAATGAAAAAATGAGGAAACTGACTAAAAAGAATTTTTGAGAATTGTTTTAAAACCAATGCATGCAATTATTGAGCCTTTTAGGGGTAAACTCCCTTTAACCATGATTTTACAGGCTAATCATTCCCTGTGTTTTCTGACAGATAATAATTACATCAACAAACGAAACCATAAACACAAAGTTAGCAATGTTGAAATATATATTCCTCTTTTCAATCTGTGTAGGGCAGCACAGGAAAAATTTGAGAAGGCAGTCCAGGTAGCTGCAGAAGAGAAGAAAAAGGCATTAAAAGAACTAGAGGAGAGGAAGGATAAAGAGAGGGTGAAGGCAGTGGCTGAAATGGAGGTAGCCCAGAAAAAGATCGCAGCCGAACAACTGGAAAAATTAAAGAAGGAGTACGAGCAGATTAATGTTAGACTTAAAGAGGAAATCAAAGGAAAACTGGACATTATAGACAAACTAAATCTCCAGGTACTCTGTATAGAAAAGGCCAAGAAAAATGTGGAGGAGGTATTACATGATACAAAAACTGATTTCCAAGACTTCATTGATAGATTGCCAGACTCCATTAAAGGCCAAGTGGGGTTCATGGTACGACCTATATACATTGATGAGATTGGTCGGGTGCCTACCATAGTGTAAGAGCTGCATTTATTAAGAAGGGAAACTATCGGTACTTCTTTAAACTAAATGAGCTATTGTATGAAGACTGTGTTACATGAAGCACTAGCTATAATATTCTGACTTTATATTAATTGTCTCTTATACACAGTAAGAGGTAGATGTGATGGTATTGAAAATTCCTGTGATGTATAGGTGTAAAGCAGGGTTCTTCTTTAAATGATTTATTATTTTTATAGTTGTTTTACTATTTGTTGATAGAGACATGGATGTTTAAAGACTTCTGTTGTTGACTGCAAGTGCCTGCATTTTTAAAATCTTTTGTTACTGATTGTTAAAAATACCAGTATTGGATTGTTAGAATTTTCTTTGAACCATGAATCTATCTAAACAATTGCTGTATGCATGGTAGTTTAAAAAAAATACTCATGTATCTTTTGAGTCTTGGAAATGCAGGGTGTATGGCTCTCAATATCCATTATGGATAAACAATAATGTACCTATTTTTAGATTTCAACTTTTTTTTTAAAACAGTGCACTATTTTTCACCAAATTTCATTGAAAAAATATCCATTTACAACACAGTATTTATCAACTGTTTTCAGTAAGTTATGGCACACAATGTGAAATCTGTAAGTCTGTAGTCATCTTATTTATTACTCATTTTTAAGTATGAGCTATGTACACTACAAGTCAATACCTGATAGTTTAATCAAGGAAACCAAGTATCAGCTGTTGTGCTTGCTGTCCTGTTGAATTTTTTAATTCTGGTAAACAGAATATACAGAGTGCTAGCATATACCAGGGCTCAGGGTTTCTTTTTAATTAATACATGTACAAAGAATAAATGATAGCATATAATCTGCTGAAACACCTAGGGCATGCACTCTGACCTTTGAAAAAAAAACTTTTTAACTCACATGAACGAGGTTCAAGTGAGATTTTCTGAGTGCCTTTCATCCATCTTCTGTCTGTCCTTATATAAACTTTCACATTGCTCACTTCTTCTCCAGCAGAACCACAGTCCCATTTTCAACCAAACCTTACCACAAAGCATCCTTGGGTGAAGGGGATTCAAGATTATTCAAATAAAAGGCTCTTAAAAGTAGAGATTTTCAAGAAAAGGCAAATTTAGGGTGGATGTCTCAAAAAGCTTAAGAACCACTGGGCCAGAAAAAAATGAAATGCGACAGCTTAATTTCCTGTTACAGTGAAGATTAATATTTCTTCAAATCATGCCTCCAAGGACCGTGTGATGCCACAGTTGGCAACAAAGTACTGTGATTCATTGGTAGTGCAGATTTAAATTTGTTCAAATCATGGCCAAAAGGGGTAAGGTGGGGTCACAAAAGGGGATCAAGGTTTTATATAGAAATATATAGCAATGTTCTTCCCAGAACAACTAGGCCATGATTAGTCATATAATATGCAAGCATCCTCAGATAGTGCAGATTCAAATTTGTTCAAACCATGGTCACTATATGGAGTCAAAATTTTTCATGGGAATAAAGGGGGAAAAAATCTTTAAAATAGTTTGAAGAACAAGAGGACTAAGGTGATTCTGATGAGCAATGTGGCCCATAGGCCTCTTGTTATTAGGTAGACTTGAAAGAGGAATTCATTTTTTCACATTTTGGTTTATGGTTAATGTGTGAATCAGTTATTTTATGTTATCTCTGCAGATTTTTGCATTAACATCTGTTATTGTCAATGATGTAGCATGCTGCCATTGTAATATAAGTAAAGAAGTTTAGTAATGGTATTATAGGTAAAACATACTTATATGTAATAAATTGTGTGAGCATTGTTGAGTCACCAGATTATCCATTTCTACTCTGTAACTCTCCATTGATCCAGTCACAAATTTATTATTTTTATACACTTGTTTTATTTTTGTACAATATACACTAAAAGCAATAAAATAAGATATACTTTCCAATTGTTGATATATATGCTTGATAACTCAAGCTAACAAAACCTGGAAAATGCATGCAATGTGGATACAGAATAGAATGGTAGCCAGTTGACATTCCCTGACCATTAACTTGAAATGTTGTTAGAGGAGGGAAAATACTGTCATCTGATAATGCCTCCTGTATACATGTACATGTTATACCTATCTCATATCATCAGTCCTCATCAAAATAATTGCAAAATAGATCACATGTAGATTAGAGCCCCTGCTACACTCATTTTCACAAATCTATAAAGTTGGATTCACATGTACATTATAATGCGCCATTCAAACCTATCTATTGTAAATGGTCGGACTGAATTAGATGGTGGCAGGAAAAAGTCTTCAATTTTGTCCTCAAGATGAATATGTTAATTCACCATTAAACTATTAACTGATCAAACAGGATTCATTCATTTTGTCAATTCAACAATGCAATTGTTAAGAAAAATTGATTTGATCAAAGAACTCCCACAGTAAATTTATACAGCATCTATATCATTCTATTTTGACTTCTTTTATACATGCTGGATAAACTGAGGTAGACAACTTCATGTTTTGTTTGTTTTTATTAAGTTCCAGCATACTGTACATATTTAGGTTGAACTTTGGCAACCTTCCTGAACTCCTCTGCCAATGTTTTTGGACATTTCATCTTGCACCAACTGATTGGTTCCAAGGTGGCCCCTGTTTGTAATTAAAAAAAAATATTAAAAAAAATTACTTTAACTCAACAAATTACTTAAAAACTTAAATTACAACACTATTGATAACAAATTTGCTGATATACAATGTACCTGCTTCGCTTGTTGCCATAACAACCCCTAATTCATTTTCTGCTGTGCTGAGTAGGTAAGAATGGGCATCTCCTAATGAAAGCTAGTACACATTAAGGAATTATTTCTTAGAGACTCAAAAAATATCATTTCTTAATACATGTACATAAATGTAAAATGTTTAATTGTGATTCAAAGGGATACAACTCTTGCAACAACTATATCTCCAGGTCTGAAACATTTGTACATTTCCACCTAAAATGTAAATATTCTGCATTATTGACATATCATGTATTATAATAATTTTTGGAATATCATGACTTAAAATATAACAAGAGGCCCAGGGGCCACATCGCTCACCTGAGCACTATGGCTAGGAAAAAAGCAGAAATCAGTTCAGTCTTGAAAGGTTGAAAAGTTTAAATAAAAAAGTGGTTTGGGGGGGGGGGGGTGTCATGAATTGAACAAGTTTAAATCTACATTATCTGAGGATGCTTCCATTTAACTATAACCAATCATGGCTTTGTTGTTCTTGAGAAGAAGATTTTTAAAGATTTAACCTATGTATTCCTATGTAAAACTTTGATCGCCCATTGTGGCCCCACCCAACCCCGAGGGGTCATGATTTGAACAAACTTGTATTTACACTATCTGAGGATGCTACCATATAAATATGACCAATCATGGCTTTGCTGTTCTTGAGAAGAAGATTTTTAAAGATTTTTCCTATATATTCCCATGTAAAACTTTGATCGCCCATTGTGGCCCCACCCGACCCCCGGGGGTCATGATTTGAACAAATTTGAATCTACACTATCTGAGGATGCTTCCACATAAATATGACCAATCATGGCTTTGCTGTTCTTGAGAAGAAGATTTTTAAAGATTTTTCCTATATATTCCTATGTAAAACTTTGATCGCCCATTGTGGCCCCAACCGACCCCCGGGGGTCATGATTTGAACAAACTTGTATTTACACTACCTGAGGATGCTTCCATGTAAATATATCCAATCATGGCTTTGCTGTTCTTGAGAAGAAGATTTTTAAAAATTTTTCCCATATACATGTATTCTTATGGAAAACTTTGATCGCCCATTGTGGCCCCGTCCGACCCCCAGGGGTCATGATTTGAACAAATTTGAATCTACACTATCTGAGGATGCTACCATATAAATATGACCAATCATGGCTTTGCTGTTCTTGAGAAGAAGATTTTTTAAAGATTTTTCCTTTATATTCCTATGTAAAACTTTGATCGCCCACTGTGGCCCCACCCGACCCCCGGGGGTCATGATTTGAACAAACTTGAATCTACACTACCTGAGGATGCTTCCATGTAAATATGACCAATCATGGCTTTGCTGTTCTTGAGAAGAAGATTTTTAAAGATTTTTCCTATATATTCCCATGTAAAACTTGATCGCCCATTGTGGCCCCACCAGACCCCCGGGGGTCATGATTTGAACAAACTTGTATTTACACTATCTGAGGATGCTACCATATAAATATGACCAATCATGGCTTTGCTGTTCTTGAGAAGAAGATTTTTAAAGATTATTCCTATATATTCCTATGTAAAACTTTGATCGCCCATTGTGGCCCCACCCGACCCCCGGGGGTCATGATTTGAACAAACTTGAATCTACACTATCTGAGGGTGCTACCATATAAATATGACCAATCATGGCTTTGCTGTTCTTGAGAAGAAGATTTTTAAAGATTTTTCCTATATATTCCCATGTAAAACTTTGATCGCCCATTGTGGCCCCATCCGACCCCCAGGGGTCATGATTTGAACAAACTTGAATCTACACTACCTGAGGATGCTTCCACATAAGTTTCATATTTTCAAGCACAGTGGTTCTTGAGAAGAAGATTTTTTAACGATGCCATTAATTTTTCACAAATTCTTAATTATCTCCCCTTGGAAGAAGGTGTGGCCCTTCATTTGAACAAACTTGAATCCCCTGTACCCAAGGATACTTTGTGGCAAGTTTGGTTGAAATTGGCCCAGTGGTTCTTGAGAAGAAGATGAAAATGTGAAAAGTTTACAGCAACAACGACGACAACGACGACAGACAACGGACAAATTTTGATCAGAAAAGCTCACTTGAGCCTTTGGCTCAGGTGAGCTAAAAAGTTGAATGTCATTAAAATGACACATATATACCTTATCTTTTTCTGTTGCACGAACATCCTCTTTCCTTAATACATGCAACAAAAAAGAAGTTCGATTATTTACTGTGTACAAAGATTCTTCTGACTCTAAGTTTGATTTTTTAGGTCATTTAAAATTCCCTTCTTCTTACCTGATTTGTCCCCTGAATGGCTCTTTTAATGGAATTTTTCCCACACTGAGAATCATACACTTACAGAATCTAGGGTTGACATTTGTTATCTGAAATAGTCAAAAGAAGCTACATACATGTATATGTATGCTACACTAGACGGATAAAAGCAGTATCCTGCAACAGACACAGTATGATGCATAATGCTGCACACTTTGTTTTATTTGAAATTAAAAGATTTAAAATGCTTACCCTTGTTGTAACAATGGCATCTAATGAGGGAACAATATTCTGTTCTTCTTGTGTTTTCACTTGAATAAGTGACTGAAATTCATGACGAAATAAATGACAGGAATTAATACATACTGTCCTTGCCAATATTTATATAAAAATACTGGGAATTCCCACCTCATTTCTTTTATTTCTTTGGTAATTATTTTTTTTTATCTTAAAATACTACATTTCAAAAAATTCTTATAATACATGTGGCTGTGAATTAAAAGTGAATGTAAGTTAGTGATTTCCTTAGATATACCAGCAGAGGAGTGGATTTCTAAGGCCATTAACCATGCAGTGTGTGCGTACATCCCTATTGAATTGGTTCACAGTAGAATATACCTTTCCATCCTCATTTTGAGAAGTCTGTAGATAGCCAGCTAGACTAGAGTAGATATAGCCATTCCTGGAGTAAGTACCACTGCCTCCCTCACAAGTCTCCTCTAAACGACAAATTCTCTGACCTTGAAAATCATCAATTGAAAATACTCATTACATTAATAAGGTCAATGTATTAAGACACCTTAATCAGTTTATCCAAATTTGAGAGATTGCTAACATAGCATTACTGTATTTCACTCGGAGCTCCTCTGGTGGCTCATACCTCGCACACTAACCTCAGACGTCAACTGTGTTCTACCATATTGCTGATACAGTCATGTGATCTTATTTGAAATTCATTCAAATGTTAAACTTTTGAAATCTGAGTTACTTTGTGGCACGCCCAACACTAATTGTTTTTGCTTTCAAAGACTACAAACACAAGGTTATAATCTAAACCAATATACAAGGAAGAATTACACAAGTTAACAAACCTTTTTGAAGACAGTATAGGGGGTGGACCTATATATATAGTAAAACTTGTTTTTGTCATGATGCGGTACTTTTTCTTTTGATGTTAGCCATACTTTAAATCAAATAGAAAAGCGTTGGCTGAATTCCAACGTACTGTAATTTCTAGGGGCGGAGCTTAGCCGTACAATAGCTTCCAATGTACTGTACAATAACTTCCAAAAGAACTCAATACTTTTTGAATATTTTTTCTTCAATTTCTGTAAGTATATACAACCTATGCGGAAGAAACATGAGAAACCACACAAAATTCAACCCCCTCCCTTCAATCTGAAAATGCGTACGTGAGAACCAGTTTCAAGAGGAATACATGGAAACTCAGTTAACTGCTTTAAACAAATTTTAAAAAAAAACACACACACAGAATTTCATGTATCGAATTAATTAAAACATATAACTGAAATGTGACAATATTGAAAACACGCACAGTTCGATGATTCCCTTAATAGCACCTGTTTTCTGGGTTCCTTGAGTTACATGCAAACGGATACATGTTCGTATATGCATGTATTTGGGCTCTTTCACACTACATTCCATAATTTTCACACTTGTGGCTACAGTACTTGACTCAGATTTCTTCAGGACATGCAAGCGTATTCCTAGTAACAGTACAGGGGATCATAGTGCGGGTGGATCAAAGTTTCCAGTATTGTGCCTGTGTATATTATGGTTTTGGAAATACTCATGCTGCTTAAATTAATCCATCAAATACAATTGCACACTCGTTTAACATCGCTTGATTTTTCAATGCAACAATCTCCTTCATACTTTCTGCTTTGTTTGAACACCATGTACACTTACGATGGACCAAGGCCTGTGACGTAATGTCGTGTGCAGATTGGTGCTGAAGGAGTGGCTATGCAAATGACCATGACACAAGACATTTACAGACACTTTCTTTCGTTTGTAAGGGAGTTATTGTACAGAGAGGCGTGACAGTCTCGTCGCTGCGCGACTTGACTGCCACGCCTCTCTGTACAATAAATCCCTTACATACAAAAGAAAGTACTGTAAATATAACTTAGTACAAACATGGATATTGCGAATTCATGGAAATAGTGAAGTTTTCTTGGATCCCCAGCTATATAAATTTTACCAATTCCTTAAACGGATCTAACAAATTATAGATATTGCAAAGTAATTTCACAGGTCCCAGTGACCTCGTCATAACAGAGTTTTACTGTACTTATCTTGTCATTTATCACCTATTCTCACATAATCCGTCCACATGCAGCATAACTTTCATTAAAAAAATAAAGTCATTATTTGGGGGAGAAGTCGATGTTTTTTAGCAAACAAATCATGGGAGAATTATTTTTCAAAATATCAGAACTCTTACGTCGAAATGAACCCGTCAAAAATCGTTTTATTGCCAAAATGAATATTCAGTTTCACTTGGATTTTTTTAGCACTATGTCTGTACTAATAAAAATACTTCGAAAATTTTGTTTTTTGCCAGTGTTTTTCTCTTAATTTGTAATTAACAAATTTTATTTGCTTTAATCTTATTTTCCAACTGAAATAATTCTGTTCCCTCTTACTAGAAATGTTTAAGCTGAATTCCTGTGCGACTTACTTTTATGTTTATGAATCATAAGAGAAGAGGATTTTAAAATTTAATTTGGGAAGAGACTGTGAAAATTCTAAATTGGTTTTTCTTAAAGAAATATATTGATAATGTAAATTACAATTTTACTGGTATTCAAACCAAAAATTAATATTTTCTTGAACTTATTTTCATCTATCTAATGACATGCATTATTTTCAATTGCCCACAAAATGCCACAAACACTGATTATTTTTCATCCTTTTGAGAGATTCACAGTTAAATATAATGACAATGTAAGATCTGCTGTTGGTATGTATTTTTTCCTATCTTTCTCTAGTTATGCCTCTCCCTATTTTTTCCTCTTTTATTCCCCATATGCTTTTTTAATTTCTGCTTTTGACTTTACAATCTCTGTTAAATGAAATCTATGAAATATAATTACGGAGGAAGGCAATTAAATTATATTTGATTTATGTTATTTTTACTGTAATTTACGTTATGAATGTTTTGCTTCATCAAGTAATCAATGGAGAGAGATTTATGCATAAAATATTGCTACAAATAAATAGAAGTACACCTTGTTTGTAAAATCAACTGAAATTCACGCCAAAAATACATCTTTGAGGAATTATTTGAAAGTTGTTAAAGGTAACACATAATTTATGTTATCTGATGGCGCTTCCTGCATCAGATCTACATCGGAAGTTCGGTGATGTTAAGATGCTTTTGAGAAGAAACCAATAACGTTTCCTGCATGGTCACGTATTGTCCCGACGTCTTATTTGCAAGATAGGTACCATATATGTATTATACTGATAACGTAAATTACATAACGTAAATTACTTTCTATCAGATTAATTGGTGTAAAATGTGTAGTCGCACAGATCAATGTTCGTTTTAATATTTTAAGTGTTTGGTAGGTCAGGAAGAAGAAATAAATTAATATGCAAAGACAATTTTACTTGTATTCTCTAAGTATCGTTGATAACGTAAAATACATCCTTAAAACGAACCACTCACCTCTGGTTAAAAGACCAATGTGTTTCTGTAAGTATTCTGTCATATAACTTTTCTTTGTTTCTGATTGCATTTTATGGACTTTGTTGGATATTCTAGTAGATATTTTATGTTTTTAGATACCCTTTTATGCTGTTTACACAAATACTAAGATTTTGATAACGTAAATTACAGAAATTTAGCGACAAAGTTATTTTATATTTTTTAAAAATTTCACTGTAGACAAATATCTAAAAGTGTGAAAAATCAATATATTCATGCATTGTTATATGTAAAAGTCGTGCTTTTTAGCATAAAATGTAATTGTTTTGTTTTATTCATTGGTCCAAACTTTGCCTTTTGCCTAAGCGACAGATCGAGAAGCCATTTATTAGACTATATACTTGGATCCCATGGAAGTTTTAACCTGTGTATTAACACTTAACGATGTTGGTTTGGTAACTAGACGTATCACAAACGAAAACACTACAAAATTTACCAATTATTTTAATAATAATGTAATTTAAATTGCTTGCGACATCCAAATAGCGCATATGGACGGATTATGTGAGAATAGGTGTTATAGAATTTTACTATGCATTGGGAGCGCCTTTGGAGGTGATCGACAACGTAAAGCTCATCAAATATTTTAACTGTGACAAGCCTTTTTACCAGTAGCAGACAAATGAGAAGTGAGATATTTAAAAATAGTATGAAAGAAGTGATAATATATTCATTTTGACAAAAGCACTGAGATGACATACCTGTCAATTTTAATCGGGCACGAAAAACAATAAGACAGTCTTGAACAGAACCATGAGAATGTCGATATACATATAAAAAATAACCTCTTTCATACTTATGGGATTAAAAATCGGTGAGTAAACCTCTGTGAAATGATTTGTACTTCCTGATTTTTTCGTGTTTATGAAAAACTTCTAAAATCAATGAGATCATAAAATTGTCAGTACCTGGAACACTGATTGTGGGCGCAGCCATCTTTTTTTGTTAAATGAACTCGTCCGCGCAAAAGGGGGGGGGGTTCGTCTACATAACGCCAAATTCATTTATGGAATGATGCTTCGAAATTTTCAGAAGAAATGACGAATTCAATGCAAGTACATTGCTTAATATAAAAATATTAAAGAAGTTCAATTCTGCTCTGGGTTTTCCCTAAATATTTGAAATTTTTTAAGTGTACAGAAATGTTACCCCTTTTTCTTTTATGGGTAAGTCCGTTTCACTTCCGTTTAATTTGTAAACAAAATGTCAGAGGAGAGCATAGACTTCTCTCGGGTAGGCATCAGACATGTTACATGAATAGACTTTAAATAGACTGAACTGGCGTCTTTTAAAATATACCTTTTTTCACCCCACAGATTCATACTGGAGGTGGATACACCTCAGATTTCGATTCTGATGCAGAAAAGGAAAGGAGGCAAGTACTTTCATATCTATAGGCCTAGTGTGTTTTTAAATTCTTATTATCAGCTTGATAGTTTTGGTCATGAGTCAAATATATTTTATATATCTACTTGATTTCACTAAAGAGAAGAGATTTTGCCTTATTATGATGCACAAATTCAGTCATACAATCAGAGAATATTAGATGTGATAAAGTGATACAGGTAAACTTCGGTATCTCGACATCGGATATGTCGACAACCTGGGATATGTCGACATCCTTCTGTGGTCCCGGCAGTATTTACTATATAAATGATTTGCAAAAACTCTGATATGTCGACCTTGGTAATGTCGACAACCCGGGTTATCTCGATGTATATTCACAGTCCCAAGAGCAAAATTTACCTGGTATATGTCGACATCGGCAATTTTCTGCTCCACTGAACCTAACTGTTTGTCAGATAGGGTCGCTCGTCACGCACGGATGACTCCGGGTATCTCGATGTCGTCAAAGTTTCACACCTTTCACACCCATGTTTTGACTAAACGCTGCTTAATTAATTCTATAAACTGTGTTTGTAGGTGAATCCCAAGCCCCTTCGGCGTCTTTGAGAAGTTAATTGAGCTTGGGTCATATCATTGCTAAATCTACACTATTCTGTGTAGATGTAGAGACTGTTATTTATATCGAAACCTAACATAACTATTAAATTTGAAAAAAGATAACTAAATTACAATGAATAACAAACACACTGAATAATTCAAACTAAGGAATTAAGAAAAAATGTTTTAATGATATTCTGTAGATAAAATGTATTCAACAGGAAACAATCCAATTAACGACACGATTGACCGAATCAGCTGTAATTCGTTATCTGTAACATCACTACGTCAGTTTAGATACTCAAATCTCTTTAAAAAAATTAATTTTAATGTACATTCTTCCTGAATGAAATAAGAAAAAAATAATCCGCATTTAATTTTTTTTACCGTATATCTAATGTCGACTTTATACGGTTCGAAGTTTATAGAGCGCATTTCATATCCTGTTCAGAAGAAAAGGCAAGTTACATGCAAATGCAGCTCAATGCTGTAACTTTGTACTGAAACTTTGTGAATTTGGAAAGATTTCGATAAAGAACACGTTTTATAATAACTTCTTAGATTTTTAATAAAAATAGAGGGAATTCTGAAATATGTTGAGCTACAGTCTATATTAAAGTCATGCACATATAATAAGCTTGTCTGTTTTGCTATGCAATGAAATCTTGGACGTCAAGTCTCAACTCTGATATCTCGACACCTCGGATATCTCGACATTTTGCGGTGGTCCCGTCAATGTCGAGATAATGAAGTTTACCTGTATGTGATTCAGTAGAGGTATGCTATGAATATGTGCTCTGGAAATATGAATATTATTTATCTGACTTCTGTTGTACCTTTCTCATTAACAAAGGTCCAGGAGACATGATCTTGTTCCAGAGCGTCAGAAGACAACAGAAAAGGTCGCCAACAAACGAGAACTGGAAGACGAGTATGGGAGGTATGGTGGCTGTAGTTTCTTTGTGAATGAATAATGCTCACCCTAAGACATGATTTACCTTTTTCAAGTTCTTTTTCAGGGAGGAAGGCAAGATTCACAGAATGCAAATCCTCAGTATGGATGCAGTATCCTTATATTACTATGACTTAATCAAAATCTGAAACAGTTATAATTTATAATCTGTGAAAAGTTTACTTTAGTGCAAGGCAAATTTCTTTAACTTAGACACATCAATTCTTTTCCCTTTCCTTTTAACTTGTAAATTCTGGTAATTTATCAGTGTTTTACAACTGTCTCAACAATTGACCAAATGAGCATATATTTTTATGCTTTTATTGGGCACAAATGTCAATTTTTTTATTAGTCCATTTTTAAGAGTTCAAAGAATCTTGAATCATATTGAGATGCATGAAATGAAAATTATTGTACTAAAATATTTCAGTTTCAAGCTTCATTTTGAGATTTTTGAATTAATAATAAATTTAAGAGTTATCATTCATGGCTAGGAGCAGATATCCTTAAGGTTACTCCCAGAAGAAAGAGCCTTGGTTAACGTCCCTACGCTCCTTATATGCTGCAACGTCAAGTCAAAAGTATCTCGCTGTGAACTTCTAGCATGCTGGAGTATCCTTAAGGTCAGCTCACAAAAAAAAAATCTTTTTGCCTTTGATTTGTTTTCTCCAGGAAATTGATTATTCAAATAAAATCTAGTTGCAAAACTTTTAAATTAATTTTAAGAACTGCCCCTCAAAAATTTCAAATGATTCTTAAAATGACTCGGCCATTTGTTACTCTGGCCTTTCAAGTCATTAATAGTGTGTGCTGGGTATAGTTTATAGTCTTAACAATACTAGTACACCAGGCATAAGAAGTATGTGAATGATTACATTCAGTATTATGGAGGATCAGAAAAATTCTTCAAAAGAGACAAGTAAGTACAATGCTTTAAACAAATTGGAAAAAGGAGTGTTTTAGGACACATTAAGTCAAATGTCATTGTCTTGAACTTGATGGGACAAAGTAAAAACTTAAGATTGGATATAACAGGGTATAAACATGATAAAGACATACATGTAATGAAAAAAGTGGGACTTCCAACTCATTTTGACGTTATCCCTGGAATTTGAGATATCAATGTTTGAGATATCAAAGTTCAACTGTGCATATAACTGAATACAAAGTAGAAGTTTAATTTTTACTTTGTAAACACATGTCTGTGAATTTTCTTTAGAAGGATATACTGTTATTAATTTAAATACATCCATATATAATGTGGGCATTCTATTTGTATAGTTCCAAAGACAAGACAGATATGGATGTGATTAAAGAACATCACAAATTTCTGTGGAATGAGGATGAAGCTGACACATGGTGAGTCACTGTGGGAGGTACTCTCATGTATTTCTTCTCTCATCATAATAAGAAAATGTTGGAAAAAATGATATTGGATCTCCCTCTGATAGACCTATCATATTTGAAAGCAGAGAAAAAAATCTTATTGTAACAAAGATAGAGATACTGAACCCTGAGTAATAGTCTTTGGCTGTTTTTGGAGTGACATTTTAACTTTTCTACAATTCATTGTGTAAACCATGCTTTTTATACGAAGGATGATATCTAGAAAAATGGATATCAACAAATCTTGTTTAATGGAACATAGTACATGTCCAAGATACTTAAGTCTAAGGTCAAGGGAAAATTGATTCTGAATACATGTATTAAAAATTTAAAATCCTTTGGAATATATGCATGTAATTATTTAATGAAAGCTAGATGTACTTTGACAGGGAGAAGAGGCTAGCCAAGAAATACTATGACAAATTGTTTAAAGAATACTGCATAACAGACCTAAGTCGGTACAAGGAAAATAAGGTAGAAAAAAGTTATTTATAGACTCTCTAAATTAAGATTCAGGAAAATGATGTAGAAAAGAATTATTTATAAACTCTCCAAAATTAAGATCCAGGAAAATAAGTGTAGAAAAGAATTATTTATAAACTCTCCAAAAAATAAATTAGAAAGAGTTATTTATAGACTCTCTAAAATTAAGATTCAGGAAAATAAGTTAGAAGAAAGTTATTTATAGACTCTTTAATATTAAGATTCGGGATAAAAAGGTAGAAAAGAATTACCAGTTGTTAAAGACTCTCTAAAATTAAGATTCAGAAAAATAAGGTGCATGTAGAAAAAAAACTTATTTATAGATTCTTTAAAATAAAGATTCATTAAAATAAGATAGAAAAGAGTTATTTATAGACTCCTTAAAATTAAGATTCAATGAAATGAGATGGAAAGATTTATCTATAGACTCTATAAAATTAAGATTCATTAAAATAAGGTAGAAAAGAGTTATTTATAGACTCTCTAAATTTAAAATTCCACTCCTTACTTTTGAATACATTTAAAAGTCTCTGTATACAAAGACTGGTTTGTACACAAGATGTAAAGGGAATATTTGAAAAGAGGCCTGATGTAAGAAGCATTTCAAATGTAGATCTCTTTGAAAAAGAAAGGAATTTTTCAGGTTGCCATGAGATGGAGAACAGAGAAAGAGGTTGTAGAAGGAAAAGGTATTTACAAAATAAGAAATTTTACACAAAAGTTCATGAAGGTAGTCATATTAAAATTATTAATATTATCCTTATTTGTTAATCAGAATAAAAAGATCAACATATCAGGCTTGATTATATGTTTATGCATGTATGTCAGTAATTGATGATTCTTGTATACACATAAACATTTAAGACTTTAGAGATGATGTTTCCTTTGCACTTAATGATATTTTGGATACAGCATGCAAAATGTTTATGGGCAAAATAAATAGTAAATGTATAAAAATTTTATATTAAGGTCATTTTAGCTGTGGTAATAGAAAATGCAATGAAAAAAATGGCTTGAGAAGCTGGGAAGTTAACTTTGCATATGTTGAGGATCAAGAAAAGAAAAATGCTCTTGTGAAACTAAGTAAGTGAATTAACTAAAATAATAAAATACAGTTCAGTGACAATGTCTTGTACATTATCACAATGCACAGGAAAGGGGAGTGAAAAGCTAATGTTCATCTAACTACTTATCTAGATTGATAAAGGTTGAAATGAATATTACTTGAGATTGTGCTATTCTACAATTGTTTCAATTTGGCTTTTAATAGAACCAAAGCTGTGTTAAGTTAAATGCCAAATTCTGTAAATCCTTAAAGCTGAACACAATTTGTAAAAGGAATAGAGTTAGCTTTGTCTGCCATATTTGTCTCCTCTAGGTTGTACTCCTTCAGCCTTAAGTAAAACTCAGCTCTGTTCATGATTCAATGTATTTTGCTTCATGGAGTGTACCTGAACAGATGTCTCTTTCATTGTCAAATTGTTAGACTTGGGCTTGACTAAAAAATGATTTCTTATGCCTTGGCCACGTCAGGAAAAATAGCCACCAAAGATATTCAATATCAATTTGCACTGTTTAATGCATTACAAAGTGAAATAAGCAGAAATGCAGGTTCAATAAAATAAAATGTAAACAAAAAAAACAATGTAAGATAAACATGTACTATATGCAAAAGTGACAGATAAAAGCAGTCAGGTGTAACAAATGTGAAGGGTTTACATACCCTAGTGCTGATAGCGGAGATAGGAAAACTAATACGGCAAATGCCTATTTATGAATAGTGTTCAGCTTGAAGCAAATTTCAAAAGATACTGAAAGGAATGGGGCAAACTGATACATTTGATGTTATTTGCATCTATTTTTAGGACTCTGCCCAGATTGCTCATACAAATTAAATTACCATCATAAGTAAGTATAGACATAAAAATGAATATTTGAAATTTAATGAATGTTTAAAACCATTAAAATTTGATTTACAAAAACTTCATTGCATTTTATGTATTATTTAGAGAATGAGACGGGTACTGTATCGTAGATACAAATTTGGGGGTGGACGAGTGCATAGCACGAGTCTCCACCACCAAATTTGTATCTATGATACAGAACCTGTAGAGTTCTCTAAATGATTTGTGACACGATCAATAAAAAAAAGCATCGTCCACTTCATAGCTGTGCAGCATCCAAACTTCCGCCAGAGTTCATTTGTTCTCTCTGTAGATGAGGCCTCGACAGGGAGTATACATCTGCAGTGTATATATTTCCACGGACAACGTAAGATTTAGTCAGATTAGTTTTGACAACGGGGTAGACGTAACAGACTTGAAGTGAGTCTTTATTGATAAGGTGGACGATTTAACCTTGTTGTAGATGAAGATTGTTCCTAATTTATTTCAGGGGTATTAAAATCTCAGTTAAACTAGATACACATACAGGTGATACAGACAGTTTTTCGATGGACTTTGATGTTATGGATTTTTATTTTCTTATTGAAATGCGACATATAAAACGAAGTGAAAGAGATGTGTGGCAGTCGTCAGCGATAAGGACTTAAGATGAAATTAAAAAAAACCCTGAAAAATGGACTTGATAGAGTTTGCATGAGAAGAGTGGAAAATGGGGGGAGGAGGGATGCGAATTTCACGTAATGTATGCTGCATCCGCGAACCCATTGGCTTTACTATTTTGAAGGGGACACAAAAGGCAGGGAAAGCAAACAGGTTTTCAGGAATTTATCCAAAATAGGATGTTTTCCATAATTGCGAATTTTCCTTTTCGTTTGGATCGAAATAACGGGTAGATTCTGTGTGGAATAATTTTTTAAAACTGATTGAGAAATTTTAACATTTTACATTCCTAAGGAAATATTTCTTCAAAATTTATGATAGGAAAAAAATCAGCATTTACTATTTGTGCGTGCTTTTGATAAATTGAATCAGATTTATTTTTAGACCGTGCTCGTGCTGTATTTTAGATACAGAACAGTTGGCTAATACAAGACAGTATACAGGGTTAATACAGAACAGAAAGTAGCTCCGCCCACTGTAGTCTTGTTCTCTATTGCTAATACAGAACAGCAAACGTCAAAGAAAAACACCGCAATTGTGTCACAATTGTTATACAAAGAATATACTTGTATCCAAAATTTGATTAAATTAATTCTTGTAACATCTTTCTAACCTTTTCAGAAAGAAAGAAATACTTCCTAAAAAGAAAAAGAAGGACAAACAAGTTGAATCAAGTTACAAAAAACACAAATCTCATCACAGGAGTTCATCAGAAACAGGTTAAGTATAGTCAACATAGAAATTACTACTGCTTAAAAGAGGTACAAGTTATAGTCATTAAAACAGAGAATATTGGACTGTAATATTGCAATGGACCTTTATAAAAGTACAGTAATGTCAACCCGTAAATATTGGACAATAACCATTAATAGATTTGCTGAAACTGAGAATACTGGAAAGCAATATCATAATGGTCTGTTCAGAGTATAACATGGTCAATACAGAAAATATAGGACAGAAATTTTTAATTGGGCAGTAAAAATTTCAAAAACAATGACTGAGTAATGAACTTGTGAAAAGGTATAGTATTATCAACACAGAAAATATAGGACAGTATGCTGTGAACCTTCACATAGGTTTAAGCAACAGTTATTAAAGCAGAGAGAATATTGTACCTGGTACAGAATAGTCCTAAACAGGTACGGAATAGTCATAAACATATACAGAATAGCCAAAAACTGGTACAGAATAGTCCAAAACAGGTACGGAATAGTCATAAACATATACACAATAGCCAAAACTGGTACAGAATAGGCCTAAACAGGTACGGAATAGTCATAAACATATACACAATAGCCAAAAACTGGTACAGAATAGGCCTAAACAGGTACGGAATAGTCATAAACATATACACAATAGCCAAAAACTGGTACAGAATAGGCCTAAACAGGTACGAAATAGTCATAAACATATACAGAATAGCCAAAAACTGGTACAGAATAGGCCTAAACACTAAACAGGTACGGAATAGTCATAAACATATACACAATAGCCAAAAACTGGTATAGAATAGTCCTAAACAGGTACAGAATAGTCATAAACATATACAGAATAGCCAAAAACTGGTACAGAATAGTCCTAAACAGGTACAGAATAGTCATAAACATATACAGAATAGCCAAAAACTGGTATAGAATAGTCCTAAACAGGTACAGAATAGTCATAAACATATACAGAATAGCCCAAAACTGGTACAGAATATTCCTAAACAGGTACAGAATAGGTGTGAACAGGTACAGAATAGTCATAAACATGTTAAGAATAGTCATAAAGAGGTACAGAATAGTCATAAACAGGTACAGAATAGTTATGAACAAGTAAAGCATAGTTGTAAACAGGTACATTACAAGAATTTTCTAGAGTATGAAATGAACTAGTAAATATGTGTAGGATCATCAACAAAGAAAATTAGGACAGTTTGTAATGAACATGTAAACAGGTAAAGTGTTTGTAATGAATATGTTCATGTAAACAGGTGTAGTTATTTCAGGACAAAGAATATTGCAAATTTGAATAAATTGTAATGTAAACAGGTAAACTATTTATTATCAGCAGAGAGAATATATTGACAATTTGTAAAGTACTTCTAAACAGTTATAGTATTATCAGTAGAGAGTATTGGACAGTTTGTTACATGTATGTTGTGTTATGAAGTGTTTATACTTGGGATTTTCTAGAAGACACAGAACACCCTGGGGGTTCATCAAGTAGGAAGAAGGAAAAGTCTAGTGAAGAAGAGAAATCATTATGGAGTGGCCCAGCAAAAATATCAGAGGAAAAATCTAGGTATTAAATCAGAGAATTCATAACTTCAAAACACAACAAAGGAATGGCTAATATAAGACTCCATATTTACGTTTCAAAGTTTACAAATTACAACCCATGATTGTACATTCTGACACAGAATTATCTTAACTCTAGGAATAATTCTTTCTATCTAATATTAAAGGATGATGATAATATGAAACATTATTTAAATCTTAATTTGCAGCAAGATGAAAACTAGCTATTATTTCATGGATCGTTTGTGAATTTATTTGGGATTGCATACAAAAAAAAAAAAATTGTCTCATTCCGTTCTCTTCAAAATAAAATTTCAATGATTGCTTAAATCTCTAAACTCTTCATGCATGTTTGTTTTCTTATTTCAGAGAAGAAGAATTCGAAGATTACTTTGAAGATATGTTTTTATAATAAACTATATGAATTAAAAAGAAATTGTTTGTGTATTTCCAATCAACCCATGTATTATTCCTATCTTTTAATCTTGTCAATATCTGACTTTGACAACCCCATGACAAAATTGATTCCCTTCTCTGTCTCGAGAGGCACATACCCTAGGGGAAGATGCAATTCTTTTGAAGTTCAAACATATCGTAAAAGTGGATTTTTTAGCGAGATGCAAATTTAGCGATTTGTCCTTAAAAATAAGCATTACATTTTAGCGAGAAGTAGTTTTAGCATTTTAATGATGCCCAGAAAGAAAACGGTACCTTCCAATACAGAATGAATTGCTAGCAGTATTCAATTTTAGCGATCTCAAAATCCTGGCCAAAAATGGCAAAATTGAACCCTCGCTAAAATTTCTACTTATACGGTATTCATATCTGCTCTAACGTTACGTGCCCTCAAATAACACCCCAAATAAATTCATGGTAATCTTCCCTAAATGATAAACAATTATAAAAGCTATTAAATCTTTGTTAAAGCTGAACGTGATTCGTAAAAGCAATGTGTCCGCCATTTTTGTTCAGATTCTCGCTATATCTGAGGACACCTATATTTATTTTTTTTTAAATTTTTATTCAATTTGACAAAAACCACATGTGGCGCAAGTCATACATACAGTAAACAAATATAAAGTCACACAGATTTTCTTATAATAAATGCATCACGTATGAAGTTAAAAATATTTCTTGTTGATTTAACATCTTCTGGATTAAGAATTTCATAAGATATACATGTATTGTTAAAAAGTGTACAAAATCCACTTCTTAGTTGTTCATAAAGTGGACATACAAATAAAAAAATGATGTTCATCTTCAACAACAGTTTGACAATTAATACAATATATTTCATCTCTTGGTATAATTGTGTTACAATATCTACCAACCTCTATCTGTAATTTGTGGGCACTTATTCTTAATCGAGTCAAAAAAGAGCGAAGATTCTTGGAAATGGAAAAATTTAAATATGATTGTATAAAGGGCCTGACTTGGACACTGTTCAGTATAATCAATCGACACCGGTGTAGACGGACGTATGCTATATACAGCACTCGGTAGCGACAAAAATAACTGTAATACCTCGTCTAATGCAGGAAAGTAAGATACAAAAGAAACTTACAGTTATAGTTGTACAGTTCAGTGCAGTGTACAAACGAACACAGATACACTTAACTACAATAAAATGTAAACAAAGGTAATGCAAGATAACCAGCACGAACACGGGTCGCCATTCCACGGCGATACCCGTGACGATAAAGCAGTCAGGTGTAACGAATGCGAAGCGTATACTCTGGTGTTGATGTATCGTAGATATAATATCGAAAATGGCGTATGCCTATTTACGAGTCGTGTTCAGCTTTAAGCTCCGAAATTCTGATAGTCGCTGATCAGATCTCTGTACAGAGACTCGGAATTTCGGAGTGTAACATGATTATGAATCGGAAGATTACTTATATTGATATCAATATATTGAGGATGAGTACCACCTTATATACCCTACGTACGAGGACTTACAAAAATTTATTAAGAAATTATATTGGAGCAACCAATCTGTGTCTAAATTTATACAGCTCCTCGGTGTTAATGTCAAAGAACTGGGTAATCTAAGAAAATATATCTTGAACGCCTTTGAAATTAAAAAAATCTGTTACAACAGTCTACCATGTTAACTTGATAAGCATATAAACTATGTAATAAGATGGGTACATCATAATTGTATAATCTCTAGCATACACTATTTTAATATTTTGTTTTTCATCACTTTAAAATATAATAAATTATATGTAATCGTTCATTTCCTATGTATATATAATTGTACAAATTGTAACATGCCATATCTATTGTTATCCTTAGCAATAAATAAACTGAAATTGAAAATAGCTACATAAACTTTTTGTGATATTATAATCACATAGGTTAATGGGACCTGTACAACAATATGATTTATCACTAAAACAAATCATATTTAATTAAATAATAAAATTGAAGTTTGTCATACACTTGACAGTAAAGTACAAAAACGGTTTTCGTTTTAAATAAATACGAATTTACAAACATAGCACATGTTTTTCTGTAGGGATTATTGGTTAATCTACAAAATCTAATTGTTTAGTTAAACTTCATTTTATTTGAATAAGGCAACACACACACGTATATATATATATATATATATATATATATATATATATATATATATATATATATATATATATATATATATATATATATATGGGAAATATTTTTCAAGTCAAGTTTTTGTTGAAGATTGAAAATCTTGCTTTGCCATAAATCATAGCTTGTTCAAAGCTAACTCTTTGCCCTCTGTGAAAAGTGCATCATATTATGTAGTACTTGACTCCAAATCTCTTAATCTGATATAGTATTTAAACATTAAGCAATTATTGCAAACTCAAAATGCTGAGTTCAATTTGAAATTGAATGATAATAATTAGCAATATCCTATTCTGAAAACCCAATAATTGAATAGCACTGCATCACTTGATGTCATGTCTGGGTACTTGATGATAAAAAACATTGTTTTAATTGGATTATTATCTGGTTTTACCATGTAAAAATTTCCGGGTGCTTACAGAGTATATATAATTGATATATGCATATCTATTTTGTTTTACCTAATAAATCATTTTTTTCTTTATCGACGTGATCTTAAGATTACTAAAAACATATAAAAAGAGTTGTAAGTATATAATTATTTATAAATTGAAAAAATATTAAGAATCTGTTCTGTGATTTTAATCGACCGAAAGATTTTTTTCTTTTGCACAAATTATCAAACCAGATGCAGAATTTACTATAATTGTGCATAACAGAAAGGCCTGGGTTCGATTATAATTTTCGAATTTGGGACGTAAAACAATACACATGTACAATCATAATTTTAAAAAAAAATACATTTTTCAGCTTTCATTATGATGTGGACTAGCAACTTCCTCCTTCTGGCAGTGTTTATGTCTTTCATCGCACTAGGTGAAGGTAATTGCCAAGTCAGCAATTCCTCTCTTCCAAAACACAGGAAAAAATTTCAAAAGTCTGTCTCTGCAGGGAATAAATTAATTTATGTTTATATCAACTCAAGCTTCTTAGAACGAAATAAAATTGACGAATTTCATCGAAACCGAATCATGGAATGGATTTGGGTTACTCAGAACTACAAACATTTTCTTGGTTATCCTCTCGACTTGGATGTACTCACTTTGAATGTAATGAGAAGAAACGTTGATGTGTTGAGGCTAAGTATCCATTTGGTCAATGAATCCAACTGTGTCAACGTTTCCGATTCTGATTTTATACGCAGCTATTTAACATACGTGATTAATGATTCTCAAAGTGTGTCATCATTGGGTTCTGACGTTAAACGTTGGATTTGTCATAGATTCTTCGAAAATCAAGAGTTCAAACGTGTTCTTTTTAACTTGTCACACATTTCTATTGGATACGACTTTCAGTGTTACTCCACAAATACGAATGATATGAGACATGAGCCAAAGTCCAGGGTCGTTTATCTTGTTGTTGCCCTTACCCTCATTGCCTTCTTATTCGTCCCAACTTTTCTTTCTGTCGCAGTGCCAGATGAGACCAAGTCTCTATTCGAACATTACCGGAAATCGGACTACCCTTACACACCTCGTCGTCTGGTTCATTACGTTCTTTTTTATAAAAATTGTTGTAAATTTGGCAGTCTCATTCGATTCACTTTGATAATTCTTCTGTGCTGTATATTGTTCTTCGGCATAAAAGAAAGTCTGTTTTCGAATTTACCAACTCGGTTGTCTCAGTACCCAGGGGTTTATGATACGACGATTGAACGAAGTTCATGGGAAGTTTATGTCATTAAAACTGTTTTGTTTACCTTATGGTTTTTGATAATGATAATTGGTCTGTTCTATCTCTCCAAAGACCAGGAGGATACTTTCTTACTCTTTGATATTTTGGGTTGTTTTGGCAGAAAAGTTACATTGCCTTATACAAAGACGAGGTGTGGTCCTCTTAAAACGGTTTCCGTTCACTCTGTCTTTGCAGTCTTGCATTCAGAGGAACGCAGATCCATCTGCAGACAAATGATTAACAAGTTCTATTTACTTGTTTCTGTTAGGTTTTGGACAGTTATTTTCCTTGAAAGTTTTCGTTTTGCACAAAACAGAAATTTAAGATGGATTTGTGTTTCTTTTGCAATAATACAATTCCCTATAAATGTCTGTATGACATTTCTACTTATTTCATGTCCTTTACTTAACTACACATTTCAAAGCTTATTGTGTTTATTGCTCAAGTTCTCAGAAATAAACAGCGATAAATTTTACATTAAAACCTTACAAAAGATAACTGATTGCTTATCGACAGTACTATCTATTGGTTATATGCTTGCTATATATTATTACTTCACAGACAATGTAATAATCATAGGCTTTACATATTTCTTCCAAGGCACAATTTACCTCTTGCTGGTTGCTATTCCTCATCTGTATGCGACAGATTTTCGAAATTTTTTGTTTTGGGGCTCGTCTTTTCTATATTTACTGCTATATGTCTTTGAAAGTTTTGATTTGTATAAAGTGCTTCTGAATAAAATTTTGAAAATCCAAGGTACGTCCGAAATTGACATTAGGATTTTTGAGAAAATATCCGGGCGTTTCTTTCCATTGCGAATGGAACTGTTTATTGTAATTGGGAAAATATGCGTAACATCGATGATTCTTTTGATCATTTATGATACTCTTAAATTCGTTCATTATTTAGATGAGAAGAGTTCTTTTGATCTGCATCAAATCTTCTCTCTTCTCTTTACTCTAACACCAGGACTTCTTGAAAAGTACTTCATAGAAAGCAACAAAGATAAAGTCAACAGACTTGGAGATGAAATTCGAGATTATTTAATAGAACTAAATGAAAATCCACCCGTCAACGAGCACACTGTGCCATGTTGCTGTAACTGCTGTATTGTGATTGGCCAAATTGTCATGGAAAGGCGGG